TTTTTTTTTTTTTTTTTTTTGTGGTAATCAACATTGTGCCACAAATGTTGTCAGTTGAGCTTATCTGGTATTGATGGTCCTAGAATATTCCTTGAAGGAGGTTGATGGGGACACCAGCACGTGATTATTTGCTCATGGATTATAGGTTGTGAAAACCTACCATAGGGCCCGAATCACTATGAAAAAAAGGAGCATAGCACAGGCTATGTGTCCATAGCTAATCATAGACAGACTATGGAAAATACGAGCAGGTCAGATGTATCTGATTCTGTGCTGTTGTGTTGTCTGGGTCCCCACAAACTCATAACTCTGGAATCTGGCCTGTTTCCTGTGCCTAATGAGGCCACAGTAAAGCTCCCATGGGTCTCGGTGATTGTGTACAAAATGAGGATCAGGCTGAAGAGATTCAGGATAAGTATAAACCCACTGCAACAAGCACTAATGTAGAATTAATGGCTTCAGGTGCTATAAATATCATTAAATGCTCTGCTTCTAATGTCTTTATTCTAAATCTGATGTTCATGCCAGTGACTGTTTATTTAGAAAGTCAACATGAAATCAAAAGTGCCTCGATTTAATTTCTTAATGCATGATACTGATCTTATTGTGCGTGACAGCATTTCCTTTTCATCTCAGGCAGTGCAGGCTATTAGAAAATGTCAACCAGTAGCCATATAGCTATTTAGGCTTTTTTGTTTTTGTTGGTAAAACAACATTCAGATCTTGCTCCATTTTGGCATAAAACAGCCATTTTTCATGATCCATTTCTATATATGTTTTTTTTAATATATATATATATATAATATTTTCTAAATCCAGTTAATCCTGAAGTGATCACTAGTAGAGATGTTGGTGATAATTTGTTTTCCGGTAGACGCTGACCCCCTGTTCCCCAACTCGTTTGGCAAGGCTTCTGAACTGGACACTAGCCATTAGTTCTCTGTAAAATCCCATCAGGAATGAACAATTAGTATGTTTGTGCACATGCTGCTCTGAAGTGTCTGAAAGTAGTGTTATTTCAAGGTTGGATGTCTCAGTCAGATGTTAGCCATCCAAATTGCTGAATAGAAAGTGTTGCCGTTTTAAAGTGTGGGGTCTGTAAGATTTTTAAATTGTTTTAATTGTCTCTTATGCTTACCAAGGCTGAATTTATTTGATCAAAAAATACAGTAAAAACAGTAATGTAGTGAAATATTATTACCATTTAAAATAACTGTTTTCTAATTTAATATATTTTAAGATGAAATTTATTTCTGTGATGCAAAGCTGAAATTTCAGCAGCCATTACTTCAGTATTCAGTGTCACTTGATCCTTCAGAAATCAATCTAATAGGCTGTGTTGCTGCTCAAAGAACATTTATTTTTGTCCAAACTGTGAAACATCGTTTTCATGATTCGTTGATTAATAGAAAGTTTTAAAGAACAGCATTTATTGGAAATAGAAATGTCTTTACTGACACTTTTGATCAATTTAAAATGAATGAAATCATCAGTTTCATTAAAAAAAGTTAATCTTGACCCCAAAGTTTTGAATGGTGGAGTAGATG